TAAAGTTCCAGTAAGTTCCTAGCTTCTGGGAGAATTTGCTGTAGGCCCCTCTCCTGAGATCCCTAAAGATTCAGTCTTCAGCTCTGTTCCCAAAAGAGCCCAATCTACAGCCCATTGGGGACAGTGGGGTGAGGGTACATCCTCCTGGCCTTTGGCAGAGCAGGGGATGGACAGCAGAGGTCAGCCAGACTAAGAAGCTGTTATACAAAGGCCCTTATTACATAAAAACAGACTCTGTAGATCATCTTCCCTGTCCCTCCCTGCAGAAATTTCCCTGAGTTGTCAGATCTCTGGGAGCAACCTTGGGCACAGGCTGGCAGGACATGGAGGCCTGTCCTTGTGCTGATCCTGGACAGCAGGATCAGGAAGGGAGATGTTCCCCCAGAGACATGAGTACATCCTCCCTGGTCCCACTCCATCCTAGATGATTCTCAGGGCAAATAGCCATGTACTGAAAGGCCTGGTTTCCAGCCAACCCTCCCCCACCCACTCTTTGCCAAGAATATGGACTCAAGCTCCTGCCCTTGGACCTTGCACCAGCTCCCACCTAGGCTCTCTGCCTACAGTTTTCCCTTCACGCTGAGTCATAGCTGCCTATGAACTTGGCCATGATAACCAGGCTACTGGCTCTCACTGCTTGCCCCCTACGCAGATCACCTTCCTCTCCCTGCCTCAGCTGCCCTCCCTGCTTCCTTTTTCTCTGCTCAGCACTGCCTGTCCCAAGACTGCACCTTTGGCCACACTGCCAGGTCCAATGCACCCACCTCTCTCTCGAACCTTCCTTCCATCATTCTTTCTCTTCTGAGCAGCCTCAACACCTACCATCTGCACTGTTTCCTTGGCATTTCAATGCTGCACTGAATTTTCAGGCCATAACTTAGAGGAAGCAGCTCACTCAGTGCTTGGCACACATGGCAGGTGCTCTGTAATTATGCCCTGGGTGATGGGTTTGTTTATTCACTTATCTAATGGGTTTAAGTCGGGTGTCTGAGCTGTATACAAATGTGCCTCTATGACCATACCTGTTTCTCAGGCTGCTGTTTCTCCTGCCGCATAATGTGCTTTGAGAGCATGATTGATCTGCACATTAATTAATGAATCATTACAGGATCCTGTCCTTAAACAATGTCCACTGAAGGAGGAAAAAGAAAGTATGGGCTGCAGTACCTTGTGCTAGGGACTCTCCTGAAGCTGCAGCAGCAGCACTGTGTGCATTGAGCAGTCTTCTGGGCATTATGAACCCCTACATTACAGCCAGTGCTTTGAAGCGTGGTTCACATCCATGGCACTGCTAGCCAGTGATGCAAGTCATTTTATGGCTCTGAGTTCTGCCCTTCAAAGCAGTATTTATCCATTACAGGCCTAATAATCACACACTCCCTTTTTAGAGATGGTTTGGTGAGTGGTGTCCTCTGCCCTAGGTCTGCAAAAAGGGCCTGATGCAGTGACCATATGCAATCAGGTCCTCTCTTCCTGGCATTGTTCAGCCCTCCTCCTACAGAGGAAGATGTTCTGTGTTGAGCACATAGTCACTGCTGAGATCCAGCCACAGAGGTGGCTGGATGACTGAGCAGTGAGGTCACAGTCTTCTTGCCTGTGGACCTAAGGCCTTGCAGGATGATCTGATAATAACGGAGCCTGGCCTCTGGCTACCTGGGCAAGTGCCATTCTGCCACTTACTTATGGGAGCCTAGGCAAGCTACCTCACATCTCTGAGTCTGACAATCCAGCTTGTAGAATGTAAGTAATCACGGTACCTGACTGTAGTGAGTTTTATATGAGTTGATTTGTGGAAGGATCTCAGAACAGAGTTAAATTAACTTTATTGAAGGCATTAGCTCTTATAATGAAGAAATCTTACAGAAGACTACAATTAAGGGCTTCAAAGGATGTCCTAGCCCAGGAGATAGCAAGCTACGGACTTTTGACCAAATACAGATCATTGCTTTATTTTTGTAAATAAACTTCTATTGAAACACAGCCATGCCCATGCTGTGTGTGGTGGTGTTCATGCTAAGCCAACAGAGTAGAGAAGTTGCTATGGGGTATATATTATTCCCAAACTAGAAACTATTTTCAATCTGGCCCTTTACAGAAAAGGTTGGCCCACCTTTATTCTAGATGGTAACAATTGAAGAGAATCAAGGACATGGCAATACTGGGAATCAGGAAAGGTTTGGAAATTTTCTCTTGTTCTACATTAAATGTCTGGTATGCGCTTGGCACACTGACAGACATCAGTGGTTCACTGAAGCAGCGAGACCCAGTCCCGCCCTCTAGGACCTCATGGTATAGTGGAAGAACAAGCAAACAGATGGATCATAGTACCGTAGAGGAGGGGGAGGTAATGGTTAGGGAGGACCTCCCTCAAAGGCTGGCCAGCAAAAATGGCCACAAAGGAGCTCAAGGCCAGGAAGAATTTGCTAGGGAACAGTAGGGAAAAGGGAGACCTTAACTAATCCTGGTGTGTGACAAGGTGACCATGCTGATGCTAGGGGCTCAACGGGAAGCAGATGTGGAGGTCCCCGCTTTGTGTGTCAGGCTAGAACCTGCGACTCCTACATGGCTGGACCATGGATAGTCAGTGATTGAGCAAGTGATCCCATTAGCCAGCAGAGGACATTCTGGATAGAGGGGCCAAGGAATCCCCACCCTCTATGGGCAATTAAGTTCTATCTTGTCCTTACTAACCCAGCCCAGACTCTTATCTACTGCACACCAACATTTATGGACAGTTAAATTCCTACTCACTTATTATCCCAGGCCAGACTCTGCCTGCTGAAGATCTGCATCCTCCCTAGCCAGACCCTTGCTACAGCCCAGTAATTGGTCTCATGGCTTTCAGCCATTCCTCAGTGTGTATGCTTCTAAAGCACAACTCTCATGTCAGGCCATGTTTACAATTCTCCCATAATTCTCAGTTGACTTTAGGAGAAAACTCAAAATCCATTGTATGGCAGACAGCTTTTTATAATTTGTCTCCTCCTACTGTTCCCATATCTCCCTCACCTCCTCCTCACCTTCTCACTCGCTTAACCAACTCTGGCTTCATTAGAAGTCTGTGGGTAAGTCACACTGCTCCATGCCCCTGTTGTTAACTCCCCCTGGACTGCTTCCTACCCCACATGCATTTAACTCTGTTCATTTCATCTTCCATTCTTAGCCTGGGCTCAGTTTGCTCCAGGATGATCCTCCCAGCCAGTGACCTGTCTCCTTCCTCATGTGGACCTATACTCCTTCTGAAGGACTCCTGATATTCTGTCTGGAGTTGTTTCTTTCTGTGCATTCCAGGCTCGTGCAGCAGGGCTCTGTACACAGGGTACCAGGCTCACAGATGTGGATGGGGTCAGTTTGCTGACATACCCAAAGGCACCTGTGGGGTGAGACTTTGTTGGCATCCAGGCTGGGTGCTGTCCTATTTGATTGGGACAGAGATGTCTACAGAAATCATCAGTTGCAAACATTGGGTATCCATGAGAATTCTGTATTCCTTGGAGGTGTGGAGTAGAAAGCCAAGGAATACCTTCAGCCTCCCTATTAGTCAAGTGAAGGTTTCATTCGATTACAGTGGTCAAAAGAGACCAGATGACACATTAGAAGTGAGTGTCTATGTGTCCACCCTTTATAACTAGTACCACTCACTGCCCAGTTTCCCAAGGCAGAAACCTGCAAGTTATCCTAAATAGAGAAGTCTATTCCCATCCCAACTCTCACATCTATCCAGCCACGAAGCCCTGAATGCCTTCAAGAGCTGAGCTCCCCCATCCCACTACTGCGCCTCATCACTTACCTGCACGATACAACACCCTGATTCTACCTTACCGCTCACCTCACAGCTGCCAGTCAGTTGTGTATCATCAGCCAGCCCAGTGCTTTTGTCTCCCTGAGGGGAGAAACCCAGTTCTTTCAGGGGAGGGGTATGAGGTCTTCTGAGTTCAGCTCCACATGAACTGCTCTACCTCTGGACATTGAAAGTCACCTCCTTGCACTACAGGCCCAGCCATGTCATCCCCCAGAGCAGGACAATTGACAGGTGTGCCTGTTTGTCAATCTGCCATCATTAGACCCTCAACAATTCATTCTAGAATTGTCAGTCTCTGCCACAGCTAATGCTCTATATACCCAAGTCCTTCCAGACATCAGCGCTCTCTCTTTCTCTCTCTCTCTCTCTCTCTCTCTCTCTCTCTCTCTCTCTCTCTCTCTCTCTCTCTCTCTCTCACTCTCTCTCTCTCTCTCTCAGTTGTCCACTTTGGTCTGATAGAGTCTTCAGAATTCCCTCAAGTGCCACCATCATGAGTAATGTCACCTTCTTCCCCACTACAAGCTTCTCTGGACTCCATATCTACCATTATAACACCTGTCACCTGATCTTATGATTCTCCCATTCGCTTCTTAGATCCTCATTCTCATATAATGCAGGGACAGTGTCGAGATCACTGTGGAAATCCTACCCCTTAGCCTTGCAGATGGCAGATTGATTAGTTGATATTAAGGCAAATTAAGAGGGAGAAATCTTGTCAAAAAAAACCCTTCCAAATACATTCATGTCTTCAGTTAATACACCAACAAAAAGGGTAGAATAAAAGCAAGAGTATGAGAGGAGAGGCTAGCAAAACCTCCTGCCAGTCCCTGGGGGCAAAAAAAAAAGTTGAGATTCCACACATAGCCTGATATTGCTAACCAAGCCCACAGGGATCTCTGTGCATTAAAGCATGAAGGAAGGTTCCAGTCATCTTGCAGCTAGACAGATGTGTCTCTGCTCTTGCAGTGATGGCCAGTGGAATGGGCTAGCTATGAGCATCTTCAAAGACATCCAGGGCCCCAAAGATTGTATATCTTGGAGAGAAAGAGCTCACCCTCATCCAGGGAGTGTAGGTTGGGGTCATCACTGACACCCACCATACCTCAAGACATAGCCAGGGACATTTCTACCTTTCTGTGGATTTCTGGAGACTTCCCTACTGCCCCTACTAGCCCTAATGCTGTGCTTTCTTCCCCAGGTGATCAAGCTGGCTTTTGAGGAGTTTGATTTGGAGAGGGGCTATGACACCCTGACAGTTGGCGATGGTGGGCAGGATGGGGACCAGAAGACAGTTCTCTATATGTAAGTAAAATACTCTGTGTGATCTGGAGGCTGGGACAGCACATGGACCTTGGGTGGGGTAGAGTGTTAAGTCCTGCTTGGAATCTAGACCACATGCCACAGAGACAATGCCCTGTAGCCTCTTGGTTGTAGCAAAATCTTCACCAATCTCTACTCCAGCCAAGGGGAACAGAACCCTGGGCCTGGTCCTCTGAGAATACACATTTAAAGTGAACAGGCTGAGCAGTCCCTTAAGGACAGGGCACATGGCGGCTCCGTGCACATGCCTAGACACTTCCCCTTGGGTGTCTGCTTCTGTGCCCACACTGCTTCTGCCACATGTGGTAACTAAGGGCCACATTCTGGCACTCTGACCTTCCACTGAGACCAGGAAAGGGCTGTGCTAGCCTTCCCACATGCTCAGAACCATCCGGGATGTGGATGGCTTCAGAGACTCATGAACATACAGGCATAGTATTCTTGGCTGAGAAAAGCCAGTATGATGATGTAGTCTTTCTACTGTGGTATTTCTCTGCATTGGGCCTTTGCTCTCGCAGACAAGACTCTAAATCTCTCTCTCCCAACAGCCTGACAGGAACATCGGTCCCAGATCTCATTGTTAGCACCAACCACCAAATGTGGCTGCTCTTCCAGACAGATGGCAGTGGCAGCTCTCTGGGATTCAAAGCCTCCTATGAAGGTAACTGCTTAGAGACTTGGGGTTTGGATCTAGAGTCACAGAGCCTGGGTTCAGATCTTGGATCAGCCTTGTGCTGGCCTCCTTTTCTTAGGCACATTATTCAACTTCTCTGGGCTTTGCTCCCTTTGGTCAGTGGGTTAAGGATTATGTGGGATGAATCAGTTAAAATGTTTGGCTACTCAGTTTCATATGTATGTCTATTCTTTCCTCAACTCATACCTGGTTCATACAGCCTTTTGAGAGGCCCCATAACGTTTCTCAGCCTCACTACTAAGGACAGATATACATCCTTGTCAGTGGATTAGGGAGGATACAGGCAAGAGTCTTCCCCTTCTGGGAAGGAGCCTCAAAGAAACTGCAAATATAGGGCCCAAAAGGTGTTCCCACCATTGCCCTTCAAGAATCTCCAAACCTGTTAACCAATATCTGCTAGCAAAGAAAGAAGAGGCCATTCCATGTAGTTGTAAAGCCTCTGTTAGTTACCAAACACTAAACCAGCCCTAGAATAAGATGTGCCGGATCTAGGCCTTGCCCCAAGTGGCTTCTGCTTTCAAGTGAGAAAGAGAAAACAAATGAGTGTGAAAGCAAGATGGCAGCCCACTGGGAGCACAGAGCAGGAAGCAGACACCCTTTATCAAGAAAATCAGTAATAAGTCTTTAAGATGACTCTGACCACTGGAGAGACACGAGGGACAGGGAAAGGAAGTTATGCCTTCAGGGAGGCAGGCTCACACTGGTAGATCAAGGATTCCTCCTATACTAAAACCTATGCTGTTTCCAAATTGAGCACACAGGAGATGCTGAGACTGCCCTGACAAAGCACCCCAAACTGGTTTAAAACAACAGATACAGGTCCTTACCTGGTTTACAAGGTGTGAGTCTGACATCCAAGTATCAGTAAGGCATGTCCACTCTGAGTATCTTTTAATGCCTCATCCTCGGGTCTCCCTTAGCTTATAGCTGTGTCTCTCCATTCTTTTTGTTAACACAAACATACCTGCATTTCTCTCTTCCCTCTTATTCTAAGGGCACCAGCCTACCTCATCTTAACTTGATTATATCTGCAAAGACTATTTCCAAATGATCCTGGAGGTAGGATTTCAGTATATCTTTTGGAGAGGAAAGACACACAATTCAATGCATGACAGGAGGCTAGGTCGAATGTCCAACACTAATATTATCATATCATGATGTCTCCCAGGGTAAAGATGGCAGTTTTATTGTTCCAAGAGAAGGGAACCTGTGTCTAAATAAGGCAGAGCAGGAGACAGAAAACTTAATGGGTGACGAATCTAGTCCTGTCACTTTCCAACTCTGTGGCAGGCCATGCAACCTTTCTGGACTGTTTCTTCATCTGCAAAAGAGAGAAATCTCTAAAGATAGAAACATGTGAGAATGAGAACTGTTGAAAAGTGAACACTCAAGGCAGCAAGTAACAGCACATAGGCCCTTCACGGAATGGGCTGTCCTGGTACTTAAAGATCTACCTGTGCAGTTCTAAGGCCATGCAAAGAGCCCCAGACAGGAAGTCATCAGTCCTTATTTCAGATCTAGCTCTGTCACTCACTACTTTGGAAATGGGAATGGATTTGGGTTAAAAAAAATTGTAAGATTCGGGGCTGGGAAGGTGGCTCAGTGGTAGAGCACTTGCCTTGCATGCCTGAGGCTGGGTTCGATTCCTCAGCACCACATAAGCAGAAAAAAAAAGCCAGAAGTGGCGCTGTGGCTCAAGTGGTAGAGCGCTAGCCTTGAGCTGAAGAGCTAAGGGACAGCGCCCAGGCCCAGAGTTCAGGCTCCACGTCCGGACCCAAAAAAAAAAAAAAATTGTAAGATTCCTCCCGTTTCTGAAAAATCTGTGAATGTTCATTCAGCAGCAAATGTTCTCAGACATGGAGAGGGATGATGGGTGTCATCCACTTGCCTGTAATTGGTCCATTTTGGCCAGTGGTTTTAATAGAACACAAACAGCTTGAGCCTGAACAACATGAGCATACCAGTCAGCAGACAATGCAGACAAGCCTGGAAGTGGAGGGGGGAGCTATTAACTAAATTAATAGGATACAATGAAGTGAGAAGAATTTTTTTAAAAGAATTAGCTGCCAATATTTACCCCTAGGAATTCGTTGTGTTTTATTCTACCTGATCAGGCATCAGAGAACAGCTTAAACATGAAGATCTTTGTGTGGGATAGAGGAGGAGAGGATTTAAACTAATCCCTGTGAGAAGTATTTGTAAGTCCCAGATGTTTACTTGAGGGAGAGGTGGACTCAGGAGACTGGAGTGTTGCATCCACATATTTGAAGCGTTGCCACATGGGAGATAAGAATCAGATTTATTTGGTGTGAGTCTTGTCAGAAAGCAAAGGGAATGACATTTCATGAAAGCCTACTGTGTGCCTAAAGCTTCCTATTTGTCATTTCAGAGATTGCAAGTGATGTTATGAAAAGACTTATGGTAGCCCCAGGGGCTCCCAAGGTGGAGCAAGAGATGCTGACTCTGCATCTATTTTTTCCTTCCTTCTTTTTGGCTCCTCATAACGTGTGTGTGTGTGTGTGTGTGTGTGTGTGTGTGTGTGTGTGTGTGTGTGTGTGTGTGTGTGTGTGTGTGTGTTTATGTGCTAATCCTGGGCTTGAACTCAAGGCCTTGGCACTGTCCTTAGCTTTTACACTCAAGACTTGTGCTCTAGCACTTGAGCTGCAGTTGTACTTCTAGCATTTTGCTGGTTAATCAGAGATAAGTTTTATGGATTTTCCTGCTAAGGCTGGCTTCAAACTATGATCCTCAGATCTCAGCCTCCTAGTTAGCTAGTACTATAGGTGTGAATCACCAGCATCCAGCTTCTTTAAGGAGACTTCTTTAAGGAGAGTATTTATATGTAAACACTGATTTAAAATATTACTTAATCTCACACAGTGTGACAATTATATGAAGATTGCTCTTTTCTAGCTGAGAATCTGAGCTAAAGAGGGTAAAGCCGGGCGTTGGTGGCTCATATATGTAATCCTAGCTACTCAGGAGGCTGAGATCTGAGGATTGCAGTTCAAAGCCAGTCCGGGCAGGAAAGATGACAAGACTCTTATTGCCAATAAACCAATCAGAAAACCAGAAGTTGTGCTATGGCTCAACTGGTAGAGTGCTAGCCTTGAGCTGAAGAGCTGAGGGATAGTGCCCAGGCCTAGAGTTCAAGCCCCATGATGTACAAAGAAAAAAGAGGGTAAAGTCACCTGCCTGGGATCACACAGGAGTCTGGGAATTGGTAGAGTTAGGATTTGATCTCATGTCTCTCTTACTTCAAAACCATTGATTGTCTCCCTATCCCCCTCCACACTGGGATCCTCCTCAAATCATAGAATTTCAATTCCTTAAAAGATCTTCATAAAGCCAAAGGCTTGCCCCCATCTAATGTATCATTATGCATTAACTGGATAACATGTCATTGGAAATTAGAGTTTCTGTTCATTAGTTCATTTGTCTGTTTCACTCAGCCAGTATTGATTTAACACTTTTTATGTGACTGATTCTATGCAGAGTGCAGAGATTGTTATAACAAGCAACCTAGATGTGGTCTAAACATATCCACTGGGTTTTGCTGGTCACCGACTATGGTCAGCAAGACTGCTTGGACCGGTGACAAATTAGGAAGGACAGTCTAAGTGCTCAGAGACTCACTAACCCTCGTGGCTCTGTCAGGGTCTGTATACATGGGCAGCAGGTTCTGTAAAGATGAAACAGACTCTGGGATTGAACCAAACCTTGTGAATCCCAGCATGGGCCCAGCTACATGGCCTTGGGCAAATCACACGGTCTCCCTGAGCCTGTCTTCCTAACTCACAACATAGATAATAATGCCACCCTGGCAGGGTTATTATGCCAAGGAGATGTAGCAGGAAGTGACTTAACTCTGCCTGGTGCTATGATGGTGCCTTTCCCTGGGAGGCCATCAATGTTGCTCTTTACCTTGAACCTTCTGCATTCCAGTCCTTTGGGCCAGGCTAGGGTCTGTTCACTGTGGTCCATACTGGCTGGCACTGGCAGGCCCTGGTTTTAGATCTCTCCCTCACAGCAGCAGTTCCAGCAGGGCCTTCCCTCCCCAGGTGAGGTGAGAAATAGCATGGTTCCATGTGCTGCGTGCAAGGTATGTAGGCTGTGTTGTCAGACTTTTTTTTTTCTGTGACAAAATACCTGACAGACAACTCAAAGGAAAAGGGATTTATTTAGGCTGAGAGTTTCAGAGGTTACCTTTCATAGGGTCTTTGGTGAGGTAGAGCGTGGAGGCAGGGATGCATGTGGCAGAGACTGCTTACCTTCTCGTGGACAGGCAAGAGAGACTGGCAAGGAGCCAGGGACAAAATACTTTTAAGCATTCTAGCCACCTGCTTCGTCTAACTAAGCCCCGCCCCTAAAGCTTACAGCACCTCCCAGAATAATGTCACTAGTGAGGACTAAGCCTTCCACATGTGAGCCTGTGCTCAAGTGCTTCATTTCCATAGTCTAACAGTGGACATGGCAGGAGGCAGAATCTTACCCACAGAAAGCTGTCAGGTGGCATAAAGCCTTTGAACTTTGTTTAGTGAGAGGATCCTGGGGTATGGGGTTTAAATCAAGAGGTTTGTCCTAGATCAGGCACTGAACGGGTGGCTCATGCCTGTATTTCTAGCTACTCAGGAGGCTGTGATCTGAGGATTGTAGTTCAAAGCCAGCTTTGACAGGAAAGTTTGTGATTTTCTTGTCTCCTGTTAACTAGCAAAAAACCAAAGTGGAGATGTGGCTCAAGTGGTAGAGCAAAAAAGCCAAGCAATAACACTAGGCCCTCAAGACCTGAGTTCAAGCCCCACTATCAGGACCAAAAAAACAGTCCTTCTTTTTTTGTTCTCTAATCTTAACTTTTGATGGGAGGAATGAAACCCACTAGTCCTATGTCATAGTGTAAGAAGTCACCACTTCTGTCAAAAGGTGTTGGGTTGAGTCTCTCTGACTCTCCTCTGACCTCCACCTCCTGG